TTTGTGGTAATAAAATCTAAGAAATGACACACGTAATGGAACTTTTAGAAGGTGGGAACTGTGTGACTGAATCTGTGTTTGAAGGATCGACATGGAAGCCATCTTTGCTGAAGATATGCCCTAAGTTGGTGACTTGGTTTGTTCCAAAAACGATTCCATCCCAAAATACCATCGGGTGTAATGAAGGCCGACTTGTGTTTTGTATCTGCATGGAGTGGCAATTGCCAAAAGCCACTAGAACAATTAAGCACACTAAAAATATTGGCAAGGATGTTGCCCTCACCATCAACTGTATCTTCAAACGTGGTAGAGTGGAAAATATAGGCTTTGTAACTGCATTGAGATGTCTATAATCTACGACAAAGCGGTAAGAGCTATCACGTTTTTTAACCATGACCATGGAAGAGTGCCATTAAGAGCTGGAATGATATTGGCTTCTAACCCTTGCCGAACTAGGCTGGAATTTCTGGGCTTGATCGTAGCACCACCAGTGGCTATTACGAGTTAGGTCCCTCCTACGTCCCTTCTATTGACCAACCAGATTCTATCTCTCATATCACTGTAATTTGCTCCAAGCAAAATGGCGGCGCCCATTCAAAACGATGTGCTTGATATGATTGATAATCAAGATATTTATTGTAACAAAATGGGTCTTACCTGTGAAGTGTATAAAATCACTTGAGCATCTTGATTAAAAACATGAAAAGATTTGCAAAATAACCGTCGACTCCCAATTGACACTACACATGCTTTGCAAATCCTACAGTCGACCTAAATCTGCACGTTGAAATCCATGTTGTTTACGAACCGGATGTTCGTTACGCGGTTTTGATTGGACCATGCATTAGTTAGTCCAGTCAAAATGTAACTCCGGAATTCCAACCTAGTTCGGCAAGGGTGGAAACTGGACTTTTATAGTCAGTTAACGCCCTTGCCTCGAGAAGATGAATGGGTCTGGCGTCACCTGTTTCTATTTTGTGATGATTTAAGTGAGCGTGTCCTAATTCTGACCAATCTGAGGCAAAAACTGTGTACATTTTACTGTGTACTTGGACTTGTAATATTTTCTTAATGCTTTTGGGGACAAAAGCTCCATGACGTTAAGGGATATTGTTATGGTGCACAGCTAGTCGTGGCGTCGGCCAAGGCCATCGCCTCACCGATAACGTTGACGAAGAAGTAGTCTCAGTAATGGAAAAGAAGATGTGAGTACAAATATGTCAAGGTGACATAAAGGTACTATACAGCTATTTTCATTGTTCTGTTTCAAAATCACCTACATCTATCCAGTTATTATATTTTAGTGAACAGTGAGAACATTTTCACATTCTTTCCATAGGTTGAATTTGAAATGAGCCCCTTTTCTCTTTGTATGGCTAGCTTACACCAGTGAATTATACTTACCAATTATAAAAAAATAGAATACCCTCCCCACCTCCACCCCATATAAAAATATATATTCACTTTTGTCTTCATATGATATGATCCGATTTACCTGTATGCTTTGTATGCTTTATTGATTGATTCCTACTAGACAATGAAGTACAACCGCCCAACACGTGTCTTTCTGTACACAGATTACAGAAGAGGTCTCCACATCTTTCTCATTGTTGGACCAGTTATTGTGATACTCCTTACAGTAACTATACACAGACATAGCGTTGCCCCACTGTGTATGTATTGTGTGCACATATATCCATGTAACGTGGTGCTTACTTTGACTGCAACCTAGTGGGAACGACGCCAGCGGATGACCTAGAACTCTTGCCCAGTCAGATAACGCCGCCATGACAGCTACTGTCAGTCGTGTTCGAAAACTCGCGTGCGCTGGATACAGCACATCCGCCCGACAGGGCAGTATATGGTTACACAACGCTTGTCCGTTACCCCGTGACCAGAAACGTTTCGGGCTGACTTGTGCATATGCTGTTTCGAAATACCAGGTTTATTTCATAAATAAAGAATTGACTTTCACTTTGATTGAGTTCACTTAAGTGAGGGCTTAGTGTGGACCAAGTACAAGACGTCAAAATGACCGACGTGACGGAGGAGTGTTTCGAAATTGTCAATAAACGTCATTCGCCACCACTCGCCCCTTTCCGTAACCTGCAAGAAGACTCGTCCCCCTATCGATGAATGTTATGTGCGAAAATACGACAAACCAATCAGAATGCGCGTATGATTTCAAGTTCTTCGTCAAAGAATCCCTCAGAAATAATTTTTGATTTTACATATGTCTTCCATCTAAACACATACCAAAGACACAGTTAAATGTGTTCAATCATTCTATATAATCCCGCATGTCCAGATGTGCTTTAAATTGCATCTGAAGTATATACAATAAATAGGGAAATATAATGTGAACAATGAGTTGACAATTGTTTCAGGTATGCCCGTTTGCGCTAAGACGGAACCCGGTCGCAAAAATTGCCATGAGAGGGGCACGAGTCGCTTGTCGGCTTGTCCCGGAATAACACGAGTTGGTCACGAATGAATAAACGTGTGGCGATTAGGTGAGAGTCATAATTGACCGACTATTTTAATGTGTGGAATAGATGCTGAATTAAGTAAATTTATAGATCGCTGCAGAAAACTTTTGACCGTCACTCTGTCGAGGAACAGAATCAATAGTTTTAATGTCTCCGTTTTGATCACTAGGATGGAACTAGGATTCCGTCACGGGAATGTAGTCAAACACTCCGACTTTTTCTAGTATTGCAAGAAGCGGAGTTCAAGATTAAGTTCTCTTAAACAGAAACAAAGGTTACGTATTTATTCATGCTGGCGAATTCCCAGGGGTTTCCCCGGGAATGCGAAAGTAATCCGTTAGAGTTTACGTCATTTCAAAAAATGCAGTCTCGGGAGAAACGATAATGTTGTTCTTATGCTTATGAACCTCAGGTTCGCGGTCATGCGATCGGCCTCTTCTCCAGTGGGAAATCTGTAAATCGTGTAAACATCACAATAAAAGACATTATTTAAAGAAAATGGAAGAAATTTATAAAAACAAATTTTATAGTTATTCCAATTATGACATCGTCCCTTGTATGTTTTACTGGTGTTCGTCTGTGGTTACCTTTGGAATGCAATTGAATAGCTATTAATCAACTTGAGCAATGAGTAAGTTAAAATTCAACGTCGCATCGGCTTTATTTCAACCTTATAGCAACGAGCTTGGGTAATGTTTTTTTTTTTTGTAATTCAACACACTGTACATAAATAAGTCAGATGTGGCCATGTGGCCGAATGTGTTTTGTTGCAGTTACGACACATGTAACGGATATGCTAAAATTAATGTTTAGGCGGTTAGATAGATGGTTTAAGTTGAAACAATGCAAATGCCCAATAATTGTTTTTGCACGTAAGAATTGGATCGGCCGCGTTATCAAATGAATTCGAGTTATGGACAGTTGTAATGTTTATGCATCGAGGGATTGCCTGAGAGAGTGCGTGATATTTGCTTACGTCGCTTTGGCAATATTCCAGCAATATCAGGACGGGGGACGCCAATAATGGGCTTTACACATCGTATCCGTGAACCGACGAGAATTCTTGAACCAATATGTTCACAGATTCCCTATAACTTGCACCACCCTCGATGATTCACTCACTCACCCACTCACCCACCCACCCACCCACCCACTCACTCACTCACTCACTCACTCACTCACTCACTCATTCCCTATAACTTGCACCACCCTCGATGATTCACTCACTCACCCACTCACCCACCAACACACCCACTCACTCACTCGATCACTCACTCACTCACTCGCTCACTCACTCACTCACTCACTCACTCACTCACTCACTCACTCACTCACTCACTCACTCACTCACTCACTCACTCACTCACTCACTCATTCACTCACTCACTCACTCACTCACTCGTGTGAGTGTGCGGTAATGACACTGCTACGGTAACAAATGAATCATTGAAATCATATATCCAGAGTCAACAATTATTCTGATAATAGCTGGTTTAATGTACGGGGATTGATTGATACATTCTGGGCCTCACATTGAAGGAATTGCATAATCGGGAAATCTCTTCTTGCGGACATAATCACACAAGTCAGTAAAATAAGCATCTTCCCGAGGCAGTCCAGTTTGCACCCTTGCCGAACTAGGCTGGAATTCCTGAGCTCTATCGTAGCGCCACCAGTGGCTATTACGAGTTATGTCCCTTCTATGCCTCTCCTATAGACCAATCAGATTCCACCTCTCGTATCACTTGCATTTGCTTCAAACAAACCAGTGGCTCCAAGTCAATACGATCTGATCAATAATCAAAAAGATTTGGAAAATATCTAATAACAACGAGTTGGCGGTGCACATGTTTTGCAAATCCTGCAATCGGCCGAAAACTGCACGACAGTTTACGAACCGGATTTCGATTTCGTTGCGCGATTTTGATTGGACTTTGCATAAACTCGTTAGTCCAGCCAAAATGTAGCTCCATAATACCAGCCTACTTCGGCAAGGGTGGAAACTGGACTTTTATAGTCAGTTAACTCTCTCGCCTCGGGAAGATGTAAAATAAGCAGAGGTCTGCGACTTTTGGAAAATGAACGAACTTCAGGAACGTGCAGTGATCAAGTACTTGCAGAAAAAACACCAAAAGCCATCCATGAAGATAGGGATGCCCTATGCCATCAGAGAGTTTAAGCGTGGCAGGGAACCCCGCCAGGGAAGGCTTGCTGCAACACCAGATCGAGAATCTATTTGACCGACTTGCAAACCACTGAGCGTCATATTGTTAGTTCAGTAGGCATTTCTCAGGGGAGAGTATATTGTTCAATTATTACAGAAACTTTGGCAATGAAGAAAGTATCAGCTCGTTTGGTTCCAAAGCTTCTGACATTTGATCAAAAACGCACCAGGCACATGTCTCGTGATAATCCAGCACTATTTGATGCTGATCCAGGAATGTTCTTACAACGACTTGTGGCCATAGCTGAAACCTGGGTTTAACACTTCCAGCCTGAATCCAAACAGCAATGAAAACAGTGGCAGCATTTGACATCATCACGACGACCAAAGAAGCAAAGATCATCAGCTGGAAAGGTTATGACATCCTTGTTCTGGGATGCCAGGATGTCATCATGGTGGACTATCTTGCATCAGGTCAGACAGGAAGCGGAGGATATTATGCTGAACATCTGAGGCAAATACGGAATTGAAATTAAGACATGGGAAGCTAAGAACAGGTGCGCTTCTACCAGGACAAAGCGGCGAGGCCCAAATCAGTTACCATGGCTACAGCCCACCAGTGTGGCATTGAGCTCCTTCAGGGCCCGGGGTGGTCGGGTAGCCTGGTGGTTAAAGCGTTCGAAGACCCGGGTTCGATTCCCGACATGGGTACAATGTGTGAAGCCCATTTCTGGTGTCCCCTGCCGTGATATTTCTGGAATATTGCTAAAAGCGATGTAAAACCATACTCACTCACTCACTCACTCACTCCTTCACCGCCTACCTTATTTTCCTGATCTGGCTCCGTCAGACTTCCACGATGACGCCAAAGCAGTTATGGTGAACTTTTGGGACATCCAAGACTTCATCGAAACTCTGGTAAAATCCTTCCAACATCTTCTCGCAAAAGTGTATCAATGTGAAGATAGGTTATGTTGAGAAATAAATCATTTTAATGTCTAAAAGTCCATGTGGGGCCTAGAACACATCAATCATCCATCGTGTTACTGTTACAGTAATGTATGAGATTATGCTTATTTTTAATCAGGTATATAAACTAGTGTCCAAAAGAAACGATACCAACTTATTTTCAAAATTGTTTTTTACTAAGTGAATTGTCAAGTATGAAAACATGCCAATTCGTATTGCACATCCCAAACACAGCATAGTCGATAAAAAATACCGGGAACACGTGATCACTTGCGGGAGAAAACGTAAATTTCGTGAAAGTGACATTTCCCTCTCTAGCATGTTCTGCACGTGCAGAAAAACTGTATAAAACGGCTGTTCAGACACGTTGATATCACAGCAACAAAAAGAACACAAGATATGCCACGTTTGACAGCCATCGAGAGAGAGAGAGCCGTTGGAATGGTCCAACAAGGAGCGTCACACGTCGACGTCGCCAGTAGGTTGGGCTGCGCACGCATCACTATCACCAGGTTGATGCAGCGGTTACGTCAGACAGGTCAGACGTCAGACAGGCCCAGGAGTGGAAGACCACGAGTAACCACGCCCCATGAAGATCGTTACATCCGGGTATTACACCTGAGGAACCGCACCGTAACAGCGACGTCCACGGCGGCTACAGCACTGGGACACAGGATCAGTCGACAGACCGTCTACAGGAGACTACGGCAGTATGGTATCCGGCCACGTCATCCCTACCGCGGACCGCTCCTGACGCCTCGACACCGGAACAACAGACTGATCTGGGCCAGGCGAGTTCGACGTTGGCAACGGCGGGACTGGGCACGTGTTATGTTCTCTGATGAGAGCAGATTCCTCATCTTCAGAAACGATGGACGGCAGCTTGTATACCGACGATTTGGTGAACGTTTGGCGCCTAACTGTATCCAACAGGTCCGGCCGTTTGGAGGTGGAGGGTTAATGGCTTGGGGTGGCATATGTGGTGACGTCAAAACGATGCTTGTCGTAATTCGTGGAAACCTGAATGCACAACGTTATCTTGATGACATCCTACGGCCTGTTGTGGTGCTGCCCTTTATTCAGCAACAGCCTCGTGGACTCCTTTTCCAACATGACAATGCAAGGCCACACACAGCAAGATTGACACAGAACTTCCTTGCCAACGGCAACGTACAGGTTTTGCCATGTCCCGCATGTTCACCGGACATGAATCCCATCGAGCACTTATGGGACCACCTCGATCGGCAAATCCGACGTCGCCGTGTGCCTCCAGTCAACGTCCAGGACTTGGAACGATGTCTCCTCGAGGAATGGCAACGCATCACTCCCAACGTAATCAGACGTTTGACGTCATCAGTCCGTAGGCGTGTTCTGGCATGTATTGATGCTCACGGTGGACATACCCGCTTCTGACTTGACTTTGAGACGTGTGGTGTGACATTTCCCGTTGTTTCTGTGATCAGTGCTCTAACGAAATGTTCATTTTTCGACCCCACCCATCTTTAAAGGCTTGTCATATTGGTTGTACAGATTTTATTGAAATGAAATTTTTGTACAGATGTTGTGAAAGGATTTTTCAAAAGCATAACACCAATCCTAAACTTCTGCATTGTTTAGTTTTTCTTTTATGTCGTTGCAAACAGGTGGTATCGTTTCTTTTGGACACTTGTTTATATATATATACTCTTCAAAAAAAGAAACTTGACATAGATGTAAAACCCTTTTTGCCAAATATCTAAGATAATTACATTAAATGGGAACCAAATAAGTCAAACAGATTACAAGCTGGAGCAACTTAGCAAGAAGTGGCCAGGCACTTTGGCGTATCCAGACAGACAATCTCCGCACTGTGGACCCGATACAACAACACCAACAGAGTTGACGACAGACCAAGGTCAGGAAGACCAAGGGTGACAACCCAAGCACAAGATCGATACATCCGGCTGCGACACCTCCGAGACCGCACTACCACAGCCACGTCTACAACCACACAGATCCCTGGGGTACGCAGAATATCAGATCAAACGGTACGCAACAGACTGAGGGAAGCTGGACTTTTTGCACGAAGACCTATTCGACGTCATGTATTGACCCCACGTCATCTGGCGGACCGTCTGCTTTGGTGCCAACAGAGGGTTAGATGGGCACGTGCAAGGTGGAGAAATGTACTGATTACTGACGAGTCCCGTTTCCTACTCACACGTGTTGATGGGCGCGCACGTGTCTACAGACGTCGGGGTGAACGTTATGCCCCCAACTGTGTGCAGCAGGCTGTCCCATTTGGCGGCGGGAGTGTCATGGTATGGGCCGGATCTCATCACGGTGGTAGGACGCCTCTCATGCATGTGGCAGGTGCATTGACAGGTGTGCGTTACAGAGACTTGATCCTACAGCCTTACGTCCTTCCTAACGTAAACGTTCATGGCGGACAGTTCCAGCAGGACAACGCTCGACCGCATATTGCACGTGTTTGTCAGGACTTCTTACAGCACAACAACATCCAGACATTACCTTGGCCAGCCCGGTCACCAGATTTGTCCCCGATTGAACATCTGTGGGACGAGTTAGATCGACACGTACGCAGAAGGAATCCACCGCCCCAAACACTTCCGGCGCTTCTTGATGCACTTCAGCATGAATGGCAGCACATCCAACAGCATGTTATTGACAACTTGATTGCATCTATGGGTCGTCGGTGTCAAGCGGTGATTGATGAACGTGGTGGGCACAACCGATACTGACATATTCTGTACCCCTGTGACATTAACTGTATCGTGTACGTGTGTCTGTCTAGGTGACACGATTTATGTTTTGAACATTGTGTACATTGATCTTCAAACAGTGTAACAGTTTCAATTATGGTTTCTGTGTCCTATTTTGAAACAATCGCATTATATTACATCTTGAAAGTCAGTGTCAAGTTTCTTTTTTTGAAGAGTATTATATAATGACAACGGCCATATCAGGTCATCGTATCCCAATTGCCTAGATTGATACCCATGATGTCAATCACGGGATTGTCTGGTCCAGACTCGTCTATTTACAGACCGCCGTCATATAGCTGAAATATTGCTGTGAGCGGCGTTAAACAACAAAACAACCAATTATATCATGAGCTTCCGGACACACTCAGGCCCTTATATAACGTTTGTTTATAACATACTTCACTGGGATACAGGCAGGCAAGATAGTTTGTTTGAGTCTCACCTCCTTTTTACATATAAAACATTATCTCATAAAATTATCCACCCTTGGAGGTATCAGACGAAAAGAAGGTACACAACGTATTTTAAAACCCAATCATAACACCATATACTCACCTGTGACAGATATACAATATATCATGCCTGTTCAGACCATGCATGGACACTCTCCCCCGAAACGGGGAAATTCCCTAATGCAGTAACGGTTAACTATTTTAAACTCGGGCCTGTAATAACATACCTCTGTCATTGTTTGCGCATCAGTTTGCAAGTTAAACAGTCAGCAGACGCATCAATATTGATTAAAGTCTGATACGTGGTATTTTGGGTTTGATATATGTGCGTATTGTCAATGATAGCTCCGATTTATATACATTATATTTAAGTTTCAAATCTGGAGTCCATCACAGAGCATACAAGTTTCACTCTGATGGGGGGACACTTATAATTTAGTTCACTTTTATAAACAGTTAATTCTACTTAGTCACGTCATGGACAAACGAATTAAACTTTTTCTTCGACGGTAAGGAGGTTACATATTTCATCAACGACAACTGGATTTCCTTTGTGAAAATAATTTCTAAATAATGTTAAATCTTATACACGACCAACAAGTTGCAATAAACAGACAATAAAAGTTCAATGTTGTAGCCGACCTTGGCATCTGCACGAAGCTAGATTTATCTGAGTTTAAAATCTTCACAAAAGACCTGACACAAACACAATTACAAACTTAGGAATAAAAGCGACAAATCCACGCTACATTAATATATCCCTGCTAAAAGCAGAGTCTATTGTGCTATTCAGACGATATCATGAGTACGTGTTTATGAATCAAAATCGAATAGTGATATATGTTCGCGAAAAAGTGAGTGCATCCTGCCTCACCGGTGACACCCCCGATAAACACGTGCGAAGGCAAGTCATTCGTTCACCTGAAAATACAACAACGCGGGAATATATAGTACAAGTCAAAATAGGAAATAATTGCATGGGACATAGTTGTTATAACCGATGAACCGAAATAACTGAGAAATAATCGCCCCGGATGAAGATGCAATTAACTTTTGTGGCCTCACCCGGACGCCGAGGAACAGTCTAATAGTATATTTAAGGAGACATCTATAGCCGAGTAGAAAATACCCAATCAGTGTTGTGCTGTCCTTGTGTGGTTTAATTAACTAAATGTCTTATTGTTTCTGTTGTATGAAAGAAGCTTGTATCCTGGCGCGAGCCATTTTTCCTCTCATATCGCCGTGAACAGCCTTGATCGTGAAAATAGAGCCTGGTTTTATTAGATTT